TATAGCGATACTTCACACAACCAGTGTAGTAGTCCGATTCATAGTTACTTTATGAACTGGTTCTTCAAAAATATTCAGTGCAACTGCAACCATTAAAGTCTGATTCCTAAACTAATGTATTTTATGTGCTGGGTCTTTTTATTGAATCAAAAACATTGTAACCAGTGTAGTCTGATTCCCGAACGAATGACTCTTATATGAGCTGGTTCTTTTTAGTGATTTGAAAACATAGGCATACAGATACAGCACGACCAGTGTGTGATTCCTGAACGAACGCTGCATGGTTCTATTAGTTTAAAGTTACTGGTTTGGGAATTGGTCTGCTTTCACTGAACTGAACCGGTCAGAGCATTTACAGAATCAACATATTATTCACTTACTGAACTACAATGTATTTATTTTGCAGTACATATCAAAATGAAGCTTTGTTTTTTAAAATTTCTTTTTTTTTTTTTCTTTTTTTTTTTTTTTTGAGGTTTTGTGTCGGTATCATTATTGACTGATTGTCCATTTGTGGAAACCATATTTTATAATGTGTATTCGATCATACGGATCTCACTGTTAACATAATCATACTATTTAGTACATGTAATTCTTCAGTATGGGCATTCTAATTGGCTTCATGCAGATAAAAATAAAGGGCCACATATTATAGTTTATGCTAATCTGTGAGGCTGCACTGAGAAATGATGCAATAATCTCATCATATTGCCTTTTCTTCTCCTCTCTCTCAATGTCCAGACATGCATACATAGATTTCTAAAGCTGCCTGTTTGTCACTGTTGTGCTCGTGGCTTTTCCGGTTTCTATTTCCTTCAGCTTGATAAATCACTCTGCCACCCAATCCCTCTTTCCTTTGCTCCCCCATCTTTTTTTTCTACCTCCTTATCTATCTCTTGTTTCTCTGTCTATTACCCCTTTCTCTCTCCTCGATTTGGTGGCAATAAGAGCATATTAAAAGCATTGGTGTAAATTATTGGTATGAGTCATAGCAAACTCAACAGCAGACATTTAGAGTATTTATTTTATGAAAAGAATGAATGGAGCTCGCAAGGATAAACTGATAGATGCAAAAGGTGAGAGAGAAAAGGCTGGAAAAAAGAAAATTGCACAGTAGCTACAATGAGTCCTTATGTATGTGTCTAAAAGTGAATTCATTGTGTGTGTGTGTGAGAGAGAGAGAGAGAGAGAGAGAGGGATAGATACATAATGGCAGTCGTGCATTTGATTGTATGTCCTCTTTGCACCTTGAGCACCATGGCAAGTGCTGTGATGATGATCTCCAAACTCTCCCTTAAGACAAAGGATTTTCTTTTTAAAGCTCCTTGCTCAGCATGGGTACCTAGATGCAACACAGCCTCTATTCCCGCTGGCATATGCACACGCTTACTTCACCGCTCATTACTTATATCAGACCATCTTGTAGACTCAGATTAGTCTGTAATAGGCAAAAGTAAAAGGAACAGATGGGTTTGACCTTTGAATAAATGAACTCACTTGTCATTACCCATGGCCATGGGGCATGATGCTTTTGCCTCTCAAATTTATAGACACTCGAACATAATGTTGTTTGTTCAGCTACCTAGCCTTCCACAAGGTTCAAAAGCTGTAAATTAAAAGCATTACAGCTTTAGATCAGATTTTCTTTCATTTAATCTTACAGTCTCATAGGGGGTGGGAGATTATTCCTGCTATGTTCAGGATACCATTCTGCCATCAACTTTTACTATTGTTTTCAGTATACTTTCTGTGCCCATTTTGTGTATACACTGATGACCAACTATACATTGTAACTACTGTAATGTAGTCCATTATACTGCTATGTAGGCTGTGTGTGTGTGTGTGTGTGTGTGTGTGTGTTTATGAACCTTTACCATCTATTCTTGTACCTTTTCTGAGATTCTGAGTACCTTTCAAACAGTGAGTTTGTTTGTCTGTCTGTTTTCAATCCTAATATTGTGAAATATTATTACAATTTAAAACAACTGTTTTCTATGTGAATATATAGTAAAGTGTAATTTATTCCTGTGATCAAACTCATCAAAGCTAAATTTTCAGCATCATTACTCCAGTCTTCAGTGTCACATGATCCTTCAGAAATCATTCTAATATGATGATTTGATGAAACATTTATGATTATTATCAGTTGAAAACAGTTTTTTACATTTTTATTTCAGGGTTCTTTGATGAATAGAAAGTTCAAAAGAACCGCATTTATCTGAAATGGAAAGCTTTTGTAACATTAAACACTTTTTAATGTTCTATTAAAGATTCTATTTTAAATAGATGCTGTTCTTTTGAACTTTCTACGGTATTCATCAAAGAATTTAGAAAAAAAAATTGTACACAACTGTTTACAACATTGAAAATAATAATTAATGTTTTTTGAGCATAAAATTTCAGCCTGACAATTTCAGCCTTTTTTTAGGCAGGGGCATCATTCACACCATCTCCAGTCTGAAAGTGAGATGGGTGGAAGGAACAGAGTGAAGGATAAGGGTTAGTGGATACTCATGGGCTTTTCAGACTACACTTAACATTTGCTAAGCCCTAAGCCCCACTTATAAACCGTGACTGACCTCACCAAATCATATCAGAATTATTTCTGAAGGGTCATGTGACACTGAAGACTGGAGTAATGATGCTGAAACTTTAGCTTTCATCAGAGGAATAAATTACATTTTAAAATATATTGGATAGAAAACAGTCATTTTAAATTGTCATAATATTTCACAATATTACTTTTTTTTTTTTTTTTTTTTTTTTTTTTTATCAAATAAATGCAGCCTTGGTGAGCAGAAGAGACTTCTTTTAAAAACATTAAAAATCTTACAGATCTAAAACTTTTGACCGGTAGTATACAGTACATATATAGTTTTTCATATATGGACAAGAACAGTTCACATATCGCATTTGTTTGACAGGAGGTGAAACTTCCATGGTGGCGCCGATGCGTCGTTTGGCTAGCGTTCCAAGCGGACATTACCTGCGACGTATGTAAACATAATTTAAAAACATAAGTTTTTAAAAGTTGTTAATGATCTTTTTAATGATTTCTGATTCTGGTAGTTCTGCTGTGCTAGTGCTTCTAGATTTAACTGCAGCATTTGATACGGTCGACCATAAAATTCTCTTGTCTAGACTCGAGTCCTGTGCTGGCATCACAGGCACTGCTCTGGAGTGGTTCCAGTCTTATTTGTTAGACAGATCTTTTTCTGTCAACCTCGGGCCCTTTCACTCAAAGAAAACCCCGATTACTAGTGGGGTGCCTCAGGGATCAATTTTGGGCCCAGTTTTATTCTCGCTTTATATGTTGCCTTTGGGATCAATCTTTCAAAAATACAACATTTCTTTTCATTGCTTCGCAGATGATGTCCAAATTTACTTACCTTTAAACACTAATACTAATTCCAGCGAAGTACTGAGAACTTGTTTACACGAAGTAAAAGACTGGATGTCACTGAATTTTCTAAATTTAAATGATAAAAAAAACGAAGTTGTAAATTTTGGAAAGTCCGACATCTCAAGTTTTAACAGTGTTTTTGGCCCAACACTCTCAAACTGCTGCTCATGCGTCAAAAGTCTTGGTGTTTTAATTGATAGTTCTTCTAAACTCGAAAGACAAATTAGCTCAGTCAGTGGTAAAAGCAAGCTTCTTTCAACTCAGACTTCTTAGGAAGGTGAAGCCGTACCTGCCACATAGCCAACTAGAGAAAGTTGTGCATGCCTTGATCACAAATCGTCTGGACTATTGTAATTCTTTATATTATGGTCTTGATCAGTGCTCAGTCCACCGATTACAATTAGTGCAAAACGCTGCTGCACGTTTATTGACAGGGAAAAAGCGCTTTGACCACATCACCCCTGTATTGGTGTCTCTTCATTGGCTGCCTGTTGCTTTCAGAATTCAGTTTAAAATTGTATTGCTCGTTTTTAAATCTCTAAATGGTTTAGCATCTTCATATTTATCAGACATGCTTATTTTGCACACTCCAGTTAGACCACTAAGATCGACTGGTCAGCTGTCCTTAGACTGTCCAAGGTCTAGACGAAAGACCAGAGGGGACAGAGCTTTTGCAGTGGCAGGTCCTACTCTCTGGAACTCACTTCCTATCAGAATCAGAGCAGCTTCCTCTGTCGAGTGTTTTAAATCATTGTTAAAGACTCACCTTTTTGCATTGGCGTTTAATATCAGCTGAGCTGTGACATTTTATTAATTGGTGTTTGTTTTTAATATTTTTAAAACAGTTGTTTCTAAATGTTTTTGATTATTTATTGTGTTTTATTTTATTATTCTTGTACTTGTACAGCACTTTGGGGCAGTAGTGATTGCTTGTAAATGTGCTTTATAAATAATTAAACCTTGACCTTGACATAAATGGTAAAATGTAAGACTACAAACGTTTTCCTTTTTGTACAGTAATAATTTGAGAGGAATACAATGTAATACAAACCTTAATTTCATTTAGGACGTTTCCCAGGATATTTTCTCTCAGAACAGAAAACAAAATCACAGTTGACAAATGTATCCAGTTTTAACCGGTTTGGCACAGACTGGGTAGGTGTGAGGGGGTTCATCATTTTGTATTGACAGAAGAAGAAAAAACAGCAGCTGAGTTACAGAAAAACTACTCCAAACCTGGGTGGAAATGTAAAAAAAAAAAAAAATTTAATTATTGTTTTAATTAAAACATAAAAAAATAACCAAATACAATGACCCAACAGGCTGAACCAGCATTTGGCTTAAAAAATAACCCAGCATTTTTTCCTCACAACATCAAAAGTGTAACCCAGTACCAACCCAGTTTCCATGGTGATATAAAAAACACCTGTATGGCCTGGACTTTGTGTAATGCTCACCAATTCGATTTGATCAGAAAGTGTTTTTCAGTTTTGTGTGCAGTATGAATAAGACATTAGAGAGCACAGAGCAGGCTGTGGGCGTGTCGTCTGAAGCTGAGACTAGTGTGCCATGAACCCGGCGGGCTTTAGGACCCGCCCATAGTAAAATAAAGGGAAATGTTTGATGGATCGTGAAGTTCATTCAAGCTTTTTCAGTCAGCGTGGTAATGTTACACATGATAAGAGACGGAAATTATTTCCCCGTAATTCACAGACTGATCTGTAGCGCTGCTCGTGGAGCTGATGACCGTGAGCATGTGACGGGCTGTAGTGTTTGAAGCTGCTCTGGCTCACTCGCTCGGTCGGGGATCTGTCAGCAGTGCGGAAGAGAGGGAGAAAGAGGGATGGGGCAGATATATGCCATCAAACTGACTCACAAGAGACTGACATGATGCGAAGATTCCGTCGCGCCATAAAGCCCGAACACAATTCAACAAAATAAGAGGCAGAAACATGCTTGCTCGGATAGACCCGTAAGCGACAGACAGCAGTCAATGACATTGATGAAGCCAGCTGTCACTCACACGCTCCCGAAGCCTCGACATACGCCGAGGGTCTTTGAAAGCTCGATTTTGGATCTGAAACTTTTTTTTAAAACATCAAAACAGATTTATTGGAGTGTCTTCTGCGAGAGCCAAATCGAAAGCAACTTCAAAATGCAAGAGCTGTGATCGGGAGATTGTTGAACAAAAGACACGCGACCAAGTTGATAGGTGAGTGCAGTTATCAAATCAGCATGGAGATAGTGACAGTGTTTTGTTTCGGTCATCTAACGTTACAGCGGTAGTGGTCGAGCGAGCCACTTGGCAGGAAGACAGTGGAGAAGCTGTTGCAATGCCGTTCTGTTTTTAACAATGCGGTTACTTTAGTGTGGATACTGAGCCGAAGGGACGGGTTCTTACTCCTAGAGTCCCCTTCTGTCACCCTAACTGCACTGTATTCATGGTATAGAGCAGTAGTGCAGCCAGAAACAACGCTTTGTGTTTTGCCATGGGACACAGGGTGTGCAAGAACGGAAGCCCAATAAACTGACACGAACCATTAGCCTAACCATTACAATTGTCTCTTTATATCCCTGTCATTTCTTTTAATACCGTGTTGCGTTATGACGTCGATAAACAAATCGCGGTTGGTAGCTGTGAGGTAAAACATATTATTTGAATATAATTAAATTCGTCAGGAAAGTTATAAAGACAAAGTAGCTTAGGCTATTTTAAAAAATGGCAAATATTTGGCTACCTCTTAATTAAAAAGTACGATAACGAGTTGCTAAAGTGATGAGACCGGTACACACGCAGCATTGCAACACCGCATAGCCTACTAGAGGTGTAATTTAGGGTGGGGGTGGGGGCGACAAATCGCGGTCACCATTGATTTCTATGGGGAGGATGAAGAGAATTTTTTTCAGTAAAAAGAAAAATCTCCAGCCACCATAAAACAAGACTGCAAGCAATTCAGAAAGAAGATATGAGGGGAGTCAAGGGATGCCTGCAGCATAGTATTTACATTGCTGATTTTATTACAGGTAAATTCAGTCTGAATGTCTCACTCAAAGGTTAAACTGTAGCTGTGTTTTGGAACTTGGTAGCTGTTACTCTATGCTCTGAAATAGTTAATATTTTTTTATTTATTGCTTAGTCTATATTCTGATGGGGCAGTCTACTCAAACAGGGAGCCTTTTTCTTTTAAATAGCCTACCTGTTACATCCCTGTCCTATTCTGGTTAAATGTTGGTTGGTTTAAGCTTGTCAAGTTGTTTTTTTCCAGTCTGACCAGCTAAACAATTGGCCAAAATGAGCCTGCTAAACCAGCAATGACCAGGCTTGAACCACCCAGACCAGCCAACCAGCTTATGCTGTTTTTAGCTTCTTCTTTTCTTTTAGCCAGCATGGTGGATGATGACTGATTTAATTTTTTTTTAATCATTATGTAGGCCTATAATTATATAATGTGAAAACCCCCATTACGTCTTTGTGTGTGCAAACCAATGTTTTGTGTTGCTTTTGCACACCCTGATTTATGTCACTTGTGTAGAAGGGTATATGAAATAATTAGGGCTGTCAAATGATTAATCGTGATTAATCCTCTGGGGTCCAAGGTGTTTTTGGGGTCCTTGAGATGTTTTGACATACTCTGACATTTGTGCTTTTTTCAGTTGCTTATAAACATATTACTGGCAAAGGTGTAACTACACTCTATTTAGCACAAACAGGGCTACCATAATGTGTTATCAACATGTATGTACATTTTTGTATTTTTGAGAGAATATTGTTTATGCGTGGTTATTGAAAAAACTAAAACTTAAAGTTTCTGAAATAAGGCCACAAAACACATACTAAATATCTGTCCACAAGACTTTTGACTAATGGATGTTGTCGCCTAGAGTTTTTTCTTCAAAATGATCTGAAAATCATCCTGCCTGATCATTCACATAAAACAATAGATTGGTTTAAATTTAAAAATGACACTTTTTGTTTGGAAAGGCAATATGCGCAGGGGTGTGACCTGCTGTGATTCACACCTGAGAAGACAATGGGCCCGCATAATGAGCGCATAATGGGGCTGCATACTAATGACCCTTTCAAGCAGGTGTGTCACTGAGCCACAAGAATGACTATATATATATATATATATATATATATATATATATATATATATATATATATGCCTATATCTATCTATAAATTACAGGAACGTCTGTCTGTCTGTGTGTGTGTGTGTCTGTGTGTGTGTCTGTCTGTGTGTGTGTCTGTCTGTCTGTTAATCGCATATCTCTCGAACCGTTAGTCCGATGGATCTCAAACTTGACAGGTGTCTTGCTACGGGCACGAGTAAGTGCAGTGCCGAGTTTGACGTTGTTTGGATTAGAAATGCAAAAGATATCGCTAAATATATATGTTTTTACCGCTCTAGCCGCTGGCCACTCCCCCTCTCACACTGCACACTGAGTGAGCACAGCGCAGGACCAGGGACGAAGAAAGCAGATTTGCTCCCTGAATCGTCGCGCTTATTCATTTGTTAATCTGTCAGTCAGCTACGCTGTTTACTTCTTAATATTATATTTAATGCGTTCGCAGTCTCTTTCACGGCCATCATTTGTAGTAAATGCTATTAACGTTATCTGTCATGCGCGCTGAAGTTAGCATGTATATGTTAACTATGTGATGTTTAATGTGCTATGTTAACTATGTGATGTTTAATATGCTATGGTAAATAGTTGCCCCCTGCCTATTCAACAGTATATAGCAGGCTTTAACGAGCTTAACGAGTATAGTAATCCTCTTACCGATCGTGTGACAGCATGTGCTATGTTAACTATGTGATGTTTAATATGCTATGGTAAATAGTTGCCCTGCCTATTCAACAGTATAGCAGGCTTTAACGAGCTTAACGAGTATAGTAATCCTCTTACCGATCGTGTGACAGCATGTGCTATGTTAATATGTGATGTTTAATATGCTATGGTAAATAGTTGCCCTGCCTATTCAACAGTATATAGCAGGCTTTAACGAGCTTAACGAGTATACCCTTACCGATCGTGTGACAGCAAATCTATGAAGGTAAAATTATGACATAAAGAATCGCATGCACAGGGTAAGATTTGTGAAAGCGTACATAAGATTGCAAGCGTAAATTAAATTAGCATGTGCAAGAGAAGATTTGTAAAGGTGTAAATCGCCCTTCAAGTGTAAGAAAAAAATATTTGCAGCATTTAACTGTTATTCGTAAGTGTAATTCATGCATTTTTAAGCTGCAGCTTCATGCGAATGCAAAATAAATAGGATCTGTATTAGGGGTGGGCGATATCTCGATATTTAAAATATATCGAGATATTTTTTAAACACGATATGGATTTTGACATATCGTATATATCGATATATTGTTTATATTTAATCCTGATTTCGCCACTTTGCTTGTTTGCCTTCTCTGTGCTGTGCTCGCCCCCGCCTCCTTGCTTTTGTTCCCCCTCACCTCGCGTGTTGTCTGAAGCCTTGTTTATACTCGACGCGTCCGCAAGAGCGCGAAGTGCGCGCGGCAAAAATGACGTCATTGCGGTGTGGGCGGTCGTGCGCGTTGGGTGTGCAAGACCCCATTTCGCCTGGCGGTGTGCACGGCACTTTTTGTAACATCGCGCGCGGCGCCGCATCCGAAGATGAACGACTTCGAGCCGAATCTGGCCGAACTGGTGCGTCTGTATCAGCATGTTTATGATCCTTCTATACACAGAGACATTTGCATTGATGGGCGACCATAAAAGCCTCTCATTTTTTGAATAGGAACACATTTACATTAAGCACCCAGTTTGCACTCTGAAGTAACTGCTTATATTTACAAAATAAGCCTACAATAGCAGAAGTAAGCCCTGCTGATGAAATTAAGGTTTAAACACTCTTCAATAAGGCTTCAGTTGTTTACTAGTTTACATGCAGTGAAAGTACAATAAACCTACTGCATTTATTACTCTTTTTATATGAATCAGAAATTAATAAACTACTAATAAATGGCAAACTACTTCTTCACTGCTGATTCCTGGTGGTTTAGAGGAGAATTACTCCGAGTCGCCCCCTGTCGTTTCACAGAATAGCACAACGGCGAGCGCGTCAAGTATAAACGCCTCGTCCATATGGAGAGGTCCGCGCGCAGTCAGCGGAGACTCGCGCTCGTGCGGACGCGTCGAGTATAAACAAGGCTTCATTCAACAATTGTCTCATCCGCAACCAGCCCGGAGGCTACAGAACTCCGAGTGTGTCTGCGCGCGAGCGAGAGAGCACGAGAGAATCCGAGTGTGAGCATTAATTTCATTAGTAAATTGGTAGCCTACATACTACAATATATAATTACTATATAAGAGGCATGGAAGTTCGATTAATGGACTCCAGTAATCAGAAGGCTACTACAAACGTCTTGTTTTAAACTATTGCAGGGCTCGAATTTCGGCGCGGGTATTGCGCATAATTCTAATCATTCCCGCAGGTCTCCCATTTATAATGCGGGAAATTCCCGCAATCGTAATCCACACAGATTATAAAATCAAATCATTCTTTTAACAACTATCTGCCAGACGCAATTTCACAAACAGCGCGTGTTCAGCGGTGCCGCGTCTTCTATCTCTTCTCTCATAATGTGTTGTGCAAGGCAAGCATCAAGAGCTGCGGCGATAACACACACTCGCGTTTAGGAGTCGGGACATGATGGATATTCACTCGCACAATCGGGCCAGCAGTGCATCGTGACTGAAGTTTACCATTTGCACGTCTTTTTAAGTCTTACCAGTTTAAACATTCAAGCAATTTTAAACTAATCAGTGCTCGCGCGCTCTCTGAGAGATTATTTTCTATGCGCACATTCATAGAAAATCCGCCTTAAGAACAGCTGGCCAGTAACAAAAGTTATTTTTCACGGATTATATTGCTTTAACACGCAAAATTGTCAATTTCGGTCGTCGTGAGTATACTCTAAACATAGTCGGTTTTGTGTTAATAAGCATAAAACTCATGCCAGTATAATGAACACAGGATCCGTGCACTAGCTCTTAAAGTGACGGCAGCCATATGTGTGTCATTCATTTTGTTGTCAATACAACAAAAGATAGCTTTAAGTTAAAGGAATCAGGATTAATAACCTATGTATTTAATTTATTCAGGACTAAAATACTACTCAGTGTTATTTTCCATTTGATTACTTTATTCAGTTTCTGTATATGAATCACGTG